GTCAACACCCACCCCCTTTTCGCACTCCACATCACCCAGAATAGTGAGAGGGGCTTGGGACCTACCATGGCCTGGGCAAGGGTCTTTTGCACCAGGGTGACACAGCGCTGGTACACGGGTTCACAGTAGGGCAGGAAGCCACTCTGGAGGGCGGTTGCCACAGACGACAGGCACTAGGGACAGACAGATGCCATGAGGATGTTTGCACCCAGCCCCCCCCCCACCCCAGTCTGTTCTGACACGCTTGGTGCGTAACCCTTTCACTGCCCGGTAGGAATGAAACCCTCTGCCCCTGGCAACCCTGCAAAACCAGCCACAGGGTACCGAAGTGCTTCCCCGTATGCCCTGCTTCCCACCCCCACAACTCACTTCCAGCAGCGGGAAGAGGTCCTTGTCCTCATCCTTCAACTCGTTCCACTTCTGAATCAGGGGAGGCATCAGCTTCTGGATGTACTCCTATGGTCGGGGACAGGAAGCGGAGCAGGAGTTAAATCACAAGGCACCTGGAACGTTGAGATCATCCCCCGTGACTACAACAGGGCACCCCACAGCTCTGTGATAGCCAACACTTGTTAGCAGCCACAGGTGTCGCCATCACAGAGTGCTGCCAAAACCTTGGAGGTGGTTCTCCAGGCACCCATTGCTTCTACCAGATTTGGCAACAAGAGTTGCCTGTATCCCTGCCTGGGGGCCAGGGAACATAGCCACAGAGCCCAGGGGATTATGACCTGGGGCTCTGGTCTTTGGACCACCACCCCCCTCCCCCAGCTCAGAAACAGTCAGACTAGAAAGCTCTCAGCACAGGCTCTCAGCATTCAAATGCCTTCTGTTTATTTCCTTCATCATCAATCCCAGATGTAAGGTGGGGATATGGGGGTAATCTAGGGACCAACAGGTGCCAGGCAGCCAGCTCAGGCAGGCTTGGCACTTTCAGCTCCTCCCCTCCACCCCAGAGTAGCCCTGGTGAACAGACTCATCAGCACACTGCCTGTGCCCAGCACCTTTGGCAGTAGGCTGGATGCTTAAGAGGGTGGGGGGCTTGTTTCCCTATCACCATGTAGGTGAAGCCCAAGAGAAAGACATTTAAACCCCAAGACTGGAAAAAAGATAGAGTCAGCTCCAAGAATGACCACACAAGGTTTGGGAAGCAGGATGGAGCTGCCTTCTGCCATTTAAACAGATCCCAAAGGCTGGGAGGCTGCGGCCAGTAACAGTAGTAAAATACAGACGAGGCCTGGTACCAGGTCCATCTGAGGAACACAGGAGCAGCCAGGCAGCATAGGAGAATGTTGAGTGTTAAGGCTTCCAGCCCATCTCAACTGCAGCTCCCAGAACCTGACAAAGCCACATCAGCTTTCAGGCTGTGGCTGTAGACAGGGAAGCTCTCTCTTGAGCTGTGAACCAAGGTATCAGCTCCAGCTTGTGATCAGAGCCATGGGCAGGGCATGGCACAGACCTCAGTGCAGTCTGGTGATAGCCAGAGTCATGGAGATGGGGTGAAGGGCTCGACCACAGCTGTTGCTGGCTAAATGCTGCAGCCACAGTTGCCTCTCCTGTGAGCCAGACCTCCCTCATGTCACTAGCCTGTCACCTGGCCCCAGGAAAACTGTTCCCCTACCTGGTAACCCAACTCAGGCAGTGCCAGGAATTGGAGAGTGGGAGGGGGTAGGACACAGGCAGGGGCAGGGAACAAGTGTGTGCACCCTGGATGCCTAGGTCCCCTGTGTACTGGACACTCAGAAACTGAGGCTGGTTTCAGCACTTGAAACATGGGAAGGAGCAGGGCCCCAGATGCCTGGGTTCTACAGGTGTGGGAAGGGTGAAGGGGAAGGAGGGGTCATACCGGTTGGTTAAGGTGGTGCCCCACAGAGTCAGCCAGGGTGCCGATGGCATCGTACAAGATGAGCAGGTTTTTGTGCTGGTACTTCCCAAAGGCAAAAACCAGTGTGTCCAGTATGAAGCTGAGGTAGGGAACCAGCTCTGTGCAGGCCTCTTCCTCCAGGGTGGCAAAGGCGCTGGTGCAAGGGGAGGGGGATAGAGGGAATGAGTCAACCGTGCACCACAGAGAGCCCCATGCCCAGGCAGGAGGCCAGAGACCCCCAGGGATCTGCTGCTTAAGGCTGGGAGGGACTACTCCTGCTGCTCTTAGGGTCAGGCAGTATGAATACATGATCCATCATGGCACAGATCAGGCTTCAGGTACCTCATCATGCCCAGAGAGCAGCAGCACAGGCTGGGCAAACAGGGATGGCTCCCCCTCCTTAACCACAGCAGCCCAGGCACTGGCAGGGACCAACCCAAGCCCCTGGGACTCCCTCCTAGCCAGGACTATCAGCCTTGGGGGACAGAGGGGGCTGATACCAAGGCCACGTCTGGAACCAGCCAACACATGCTAGCAAGGCTCTGAGCCTGCATGATAATGCTGAGGTTCACATGCACCCCCATCCATGTGCGCAGACATACACACCCATCCATCTGCATCTACCCCAATACACACACCCACACGCACCCTGTGCACACATGCCTGTACTTGCCACCACACGTGTATACACACACGCCTCTATGCATCCCCATACTTGGGGGCACACCCACATGTGCCTCCACATGGGTGTTTGCACATCCTTGTGCACCCCCCCTTCCCTTCCTGCCCCCCCCATGTGCAAGTACACACTCGCCCACACACCTGCATGCTGCCTCCTGCACACGCTTGTTGCTGTCCAGGATACGCTTAAGCAGCTCGGTCATGAGGGGCTTGAGGTAGGTGTCAGGGGGCTGGCTCACCACCCAGTGCGCGTAGCGGCTTAGCGTCCAGCACGCGATGGAGCGCACCAGCGCCTTCTTGTCCGACAGGCACTGGATCAGGTGTGGGATGAGCTCGGGCAGGTAGGGCACCATGCCCTGCATGCAGCCTGGGGTGGGGGGGGGGTAGGCAGGGGCATACGGTTAGAGCTTGGACTGAGACCTCCCCACCCCTCCCTTGCAGTTAGAGCCAAGGAACTGCTGCTGCAGCAGGCTCTATCCATAACCCAGGAGTAGCAACAAAGATGCACCAAGTGGCATGGGCAGTCTGTGTGTGTGACACATGGCAGATAGGGGAGGGGCCAGTCAGCACAGCACCAGATAGGGCAAGGAGCAAAAAGCAGAGCAGACAAAGAATACAGGCAAGGAGCAGAAAGCAGAGAGGCCCATGGGGGCTGGGAGCACAGGGCAGGGGGCAGAAAGCTGAGCAGTCAGTTGGACAGAGAGCACGGCAGCAAATATAAAGCATAGCAGCTGATGGGGCTCTGAAGCACAAGACAAGAAGCAGAAAGTAGAGAACAGGTGAGGGGCACTGGGCCTGGGAAGCAGGTTTCAGACCCTGCCAGCCCACTATCAACAGGGGGGCTTGTGCAGAGCTCACTGCCTGCCTTTTGAGTCACCTGCTCCAGAACCCTGCTAGGCCTCTGCCCCAGGTAGAGAGGAAGGGGCAGGGAGGAAGAGGGCAAGGAGCTTCCTCCTCTCCCCCAGGCCTGCAATTCCTGCTCACCCCCACCCCAAGCCCAGCACTTGCCCTCGGCGATGGCGCCCAGCACCAGGATGCCCGACTCCTTGATGACCCACTCGGGGTGGAAAAGCAGTCCCTTGAGCAGGGGCAGCAGATGGGGCAGCAGCTCCTCCCGGAACACATTGGCCAGAACATCCAGGGCAGCCGCAGAGCACTTTCCTGGGGTGGGGAGAAGGGGAGGCAGCGGTTAGCATGGGAACCCTGACATGCCCTGCCCCCCCCACCAGCCACAGCTGGACATGGGGCTGAGCTCAGGCCTGGCAGGAGACACCTGCATCTCCCTTCCCCCAAGCCCATGTCCCCATCCCTCACACCTCCTCAGACCCTGCTCCCACCCCACTGGCCCACAGGGCTCTTTGTCCCTGTCCCCACCCCTTGGACTCACCCCCATTCCCCTCAGGTATCTGACCCTGCCCTCCCCAGAACCCTGCCCCCATCCCCTCTCCCACCCCTTTCCATCCCCAGACCCCTGCCACCCCAGCCTGTACGGAGGTTCCAGTCCGAGAGTGTGTCATCATCATCGTCCTCATCGTCGCCGTCCTCGCCGTCCTGGGCCCGCTCCTCCTCATGCTGCAGTGTTACCGTGCGCGACTTGTGGAAGCGTGGCTTGATGTCCTGCTCGCTGTCTGGGATGGCCTCATCCTCCTCCACATCGCCCTGTGCGGTGCCGCACCATCAGTGGGAGGACACCAGGAGCTCTCCCCCTCCTCCCTGCCAGCCCCAACACACGATGGGCTGGAGAAACCGAGGCACAGAGCCCCGAGATCATGCCCCGGAACCTGTGTACTCCTTCTTGGCCAAAGGGGCAATCAGCCTTGCCCCCTGCCACTGCACCTCCCCCCACCCCTTCTGGGCACTTCTTGGGATTGGGGTCCTGGATCAGACAGTATGAATACAAACACCATCACAGGATCAGGCTAGGAGCTGCTCGTCACTTCCAGGAGGCCCTTCCCTTCCCCAGACTCACCTACTGCCCTACTTAAGGGAGTCACCAGGCAGGCATCTCCCACTGGCAAAGCAGAGGTCTGACCAAGGGAGAGGCTGACCCCAGACTGGGGGGGCCTGTGTGTGTGTATTATGGGGTGTCAGCCCCAGGGCAGTGGAGCACAGCGAGCAAGGGGGGGGGGCAGAGACCCCTGGCTGCCCCACACACCTTAAGCAGGATGATGTCAATCTCTGAATATTTCATGCCATTCACCAGGATGGGGATCAGCCTGCAAGAACAGGAGTCAGCGTGGAGGGAACCACTGTAGGAGGTGGGGGGATGGGAGAGGGAGGAACTGCCTGCTGACCCAAGCATGGGAGAGGGGGGTAGTTTCACATTGCTCAGAGAGAGAGAGAGAGAGAGAGAGAGAGAGAGAGAGAGAGAGGTCCAGCCTTCACACCCTTCCCCCTCCTCCAGCAGCATGGGGGCTGCAGCTGGGAGAACACCCACTCCCAGAAGAAAAGCATCCAGGCTCCCACCCACCCCCTGTAATGTGACCTACCAGACCCCACTCCCCACACAGAGCCAGGAGGGAACCCACCAAGCTCCCCTGCTCTGATTTCCCAGTCCAACTCCCCTCCCACAGTTGGGGACAGACCTCAGGAATCTTGACTCCCAACCCCACAACCCTTGCTCAATCCTGGCAAACCCCACCATTCTCCTGGAGCCAGGGAAGAGAACCCAGGTGTCTGGGCTCTGAGTCCCCTGCAATCTGATCCACCAGTTCCTATGCCCCTCCAAGAGCTGGGGAGGGACTTCAGAAGGTCCCAATTCCCAGACTCCACTCCCCTCCCCATAAATCTATCCCAGTAAACCCCACTGCCATCCTGAAGCTGGGGAAGAGAATCCAGGCACCTGGGCTCCTGGTCAGATCCTCACCCACACCAAGCAGTGCCCAGTAAAGCCCCACCCCAGCCAGCAGGGAGGGAATGGAGGCAGGGACTCACTGTACTAAGTGAGAAGTCAGGGCCTCCTTGCAGATGGGCTGCTCAGCCAGTGTGAGCCAGAACTCACAGGCCTCCAGCGCCACATTCTCATCGCTGTCCTGAGTGCGCTGCAGCATGTACTGGAGAGATGGAACTGTGTCACTGGCGGTGACGCATAGGAGGTGCATGTGCACCCCCTGACCAGCCACGCTCACAGCTTAGGTGACGGGTAGGGGGGGCAGGTGGAAGTGCCGGCGCACCCCCTGCAAGTGCCAGCTGGGGAGTAGGAGCACCATGGCACTCCCAGAAGCAGCCGTAGCCACTTCTGGAAGTAGCTGCAGTGATCAGCTCCAGTCAGTGTGATTGGCTACAGGGGACCCCCTAATCGCTGACTGGTTGCTGGGGGGCAGAGCACATTGCCTCCCCCCGCTCAGACTAAGGTAGCACCAGTTGCCCATGCATGTCATCATCCAGCTGCGGGGCCCCAGAGCCTCCCCCCAGGGCTAGGCCCACATCCCCCCATGCCCTGAAGGAACTGCAGTGGTTGGCAGAGCTAGGTCAGAGCTTGGAGGCCTTGGAAAACTGAGGCAAGGAGCCAGTTGTCTGGGACCCCCACCCCCAGCAGGCCTGGCCCCAACCCCCTGCTTGAGGTGGGTCAGCCCCATGGCCTCAAATACAGATCACACTCCTCCCCCACCGCCTCCTCCAGCAAAGGCTCACCTGGATGATGCTGTGCATGTGTGGGATGAGACGGTCGATCCGCACCTCCAGCAGCATCACCAAGGCCCGGCACACGTTCTTCCGAACCTCAGGGTCTTCATCCACCGCCAGAGCAAACAAGTGCTAGGAAGGGGGAGGAGGCAGAGCTGAGACTACCTGGAGTCCACTGTTGTCAAGCCCTGCCCTCCCAGGGATGTCTGCTGGAAGGATTCACCCTGTACCAGGCTGCTTGGAGCAACTGCAGGCCACAGGGATGCCCTGGACACCCCATCCCACTCCAGCAAGATTGAGACCCCAACAGCCAGGGCCACAGAACAGGTATCAGCCCTCACCATCCCATGACCCCTGACAGCCCATAGACAACGGGAGACAACAGGTGCCTCTCGTCTGGGTAACAGTGCTGTTGTATCGTCACAACCACAAGCGTGGAACAGGCTCCCCCCAGTCTGAAAACACATGGGGTAGGGAACACAGCACCAGGCAGGCCCTGAAGAGGTGGCAGGGGCAGGGGGACAAGGCAAACTAGATCTGCCTGAGCTCTGCCCACCCCAGACTCTCACCTCGATGAAGGTGTCAATGTTATCCATCAGTGCCTGAGCCCGGTCCATGATGAACTGGTTCACGCAAGCGATGGCATGGGATCTGGGAGGTGGAGACCAAGGACTATGGCTCAGGCTCTTGTAGCTCCCCCCAACCTGCCTGGCCAGGTCAGGTCAGGTCAGGGCTTGGGCATCTGCGCCCACCACACAGCCAGAACAAGGCCTCAGTTACCCCATAGGCTGTGCTGAGGTGAGAGGAGCCTTGGGGAAGACGTGGGGAAGGAGCTGACCCCATGGCACCAATCAAAGACCCTCCCCCACCTCACCTGGATGACACCTGAATGGGAAGGATCTGTTATAAATACATGTTAGTGGGTGGGTGGGGTGTTGCTGGACAACTTCCCTTCATTGCACCAAGGCTCTGATGCCAGCCCAGGGAACAGATAACTTGTTGGCCCCAGCAGGGCATTGGGGGGTGGAAGGGAAAAAAAAAAATCAGCAGGATCCCAGCCCCCTCACCCCACACAAGCCAGCCAGGAGCCTGTGGGCAGCGCTCCCACCTGATCTTAGGGCTGCAATGCTTGAAGAACTGCAGGAACTTGGGGATCATGACATTGAGGGGGCGATTGAGGGCATCGCTGTCCAAGAGCTCCGACGAGTCCTCGCAGATCTTTTGCAAGGCCCCAAAGGCCCCCTGGGTGCCGCACAATGGGGTTAGAACTGGGATAATGGCCACAAAAATCAAGTGGGCCAAGCCCACTGGAGCACTCCACAGCCAGTCTGATAGCCAGATCTGAGACTCCACACTCCCCCAACCCCATCCCCTTCCAGCCCCAACCCACGGTGCCCCAGCCCTTAGCTGGCCAGTGCAGAGACACCTGCCCTGGTAACCCAGCCTTCTCCCTATCCTATCCCATACCCCAATACCACACCCCACAATTGGCAGATGCAGACACCTGCCCTGATGACCCAGCTCCCTCCACCTTCATTTCCAGCCCCCAGTGATCCAGCCTCAGATGTCCCCACAGCTGGGAACACAGACCCACCCCCCCCACCTCGCAGGTGTTGTAGTCCTCAGAGTTAAGCAGGTTGCACAACTGAGGCAGCAGCTCTGGCCACATCTGCAGCTCCCCCTTGGAGGCGATGGTGGTGATGAGAATTCCTGCAGGTGGAGGCCAGCTGCAGGTCAGCCCCAGGCTGCCTCCGAGCCTGAGCCCACCCCCACCCAAGCCCTGCCAAGGGCCCCCAATTCCCCAGTTCTCACCAATGGTGGCGCGAATGAGGGAGGAAGCATCGCCAATGTTGTTGAGACACTCCTGCTTGATAAACTCAGCCACGGGCGGTGGAAAGCTCTGGTAATGAGCTTTGACATTGTTCTTCAGGATGAGCCCACTGAGGGAGCGCGTCGGCTCATCTGTGCCACCGGGGGGAAGAGAACCATGGGGCATCTGTGACCGTGGCCTCCAGCCCCCACCCTCTGCCAGGCTGAGAACCCAGAGCCTATGGGAAGGAACAAGCCCTGGTGCCTTGAGGCTCCCTGCAGCACCATCATCCCCAAAGCATTACCAGTATCAGCCCCACCCCACCCCCAGACCTGTGGGGAAACCATGTCCAAGCCCCAAACATCTCCCTCCCAGGGACCTCAAGGGGTAGCAGAACCTCACAGCAAGGCCAGGCCTGATTAGCTGCCAAGCAGGGTGTCCACACAATGATATTTCTCCCACACCCCATGCGTCCCTGCTCCAGGTGAGCTCCACGCATCTGTAAATCCTGCCAGCCCTCCCAGGTGCTGCCACGCTGAAATGTCCCGGCCAATGCATCCCTGCTCTGGGAGGAGCTCCACGCAGCTGCGCCAGGGTCTCGCTCTATCCTCCATGCCCCCAGCCCAGGTACCAGTTAAGGACCAGCTGCCCCCTGGCATCCACCCCACCTGGAAGCCCAGGTTGGACGCTGGGGGCCATGACAAGCCCCGAACCAGTCTGAGACACTGCCCCTTCCCCAGCATTGTGTCCCTCCCCACATGGCCAAGCCTGGTATGTACCTTCTGATTTCAACCTAGTCAGGACGAAGATAAGATAGTTGTTGAAATCTGGGAACTGATTGAGCTGTTTCAGTTTCTGTGGTGCTGGGTTAAGATCCAAAGATCTAGGTCTGGAGAAGGCAGCTGGGGCTCTACCTCCCTCTGGGCTTGGCCTGGACCACAACACCCACTTTTTCCCCTGCAGAGGAATATCCCCTGCCTTAGCTACATAGCTTCCAGCTTACAAGCCCACAGCCCTCCCATGACCTCTGACCCTGGGTCACAGCATCCAACCCTGGTTTAAGGATACATCCTGGACTATGCGCTGTGTGGCCGTGTTAGGTGACTGCGAGTCCTTGAGCAGCTGCAAGACCTGCTGCAGCCCCTGCTCATCTGGTTGCCAGTCCATGGCAGGGGGTAGCTGCAACTGTGTGGTAAGAAAAGGAGAAGAAAAGAGTGGTTACCACCAGCCAACCTGGCCCATTGCCTCCCCACGCCTAGCAATGACCATGGCTGCAAGCCCCTCTAGCCACAGAACACAGATGGGGCTTAGGGCAGCAGGAGGAAGACCCCACAGCTAGGGCCCCCAGCCTGGGAAAGACCCAGGGTGAGACCAGGCTGAAGTCAACCAGGCCCCACAGCTGGGGTGATATGTGCAGCTGCCCCAAGGAGCCTCATGAACAGGAGAGCTTTGAACCAAGACAGTAAGAGAAACCAGGGCCAGAGATGGCAGCTCACCCACAGCTAGGGGTGCAGGGAGGAAGAAAAAGGAAACCTATCTGGAGGATAAGCAGGGACTGCATGGGGAGTTTCCCCAGCTCTCCCTTGGCCCCAGCTGCAGGGAAAGAAGGGGGGGTGGCATCCCCCCACACAACGGCCACATGGGAACCTGGACATCCCGCTTCCTCCTTGCCACCCCCAACCTCCACCCATACCCACCTCAGCCCCGGATCCCAACCCACAGCCTCTCTAATCCCCAGGGTAACAAAGCCACCCCTCTCAGTCCCCTACACTCCCAGCTGGCTTGACCTTCTCCCCCAGCTCTCCAAACCCAAGACCAGGACCAGGCCTCCTCCCATTCCCACTCCACAAATAATCAGACCCTCAAGCCCTTGCTCCACAAACCCAGTCTCCAAGCCACTTGTCTCCCCTCTGGACTTCCAAAGCCACCCCCAACCCCAGGTCCCCTAACCCACATGACCCAAGCTGGCTGTACAGCAACCCCTTCACTGCCGCTGAATCAAGTTTTCTCTGCACCAGGGGAACTCCCCCATCCTGGGATCCAGCCCCCCCAGCCCTAGGATAGAGCCCCCTCAGCCCCCCCCATCCTAGGGGAATCCCCCCACTCCCAGGCACCAGCTGCAAAGGGATCCCTCCCCCACCCTGGAATACAGCACCCCCAGGGGAACCACCCCAGCTTCCACCCTGCCCAGGCCCCTGCTTCCAAGCCCTAGGGGATTCCGCCTGCTCTGCAACAGAACAGCCCAGAACCTAGGGAGACACCACAGTGCCCAGCTCCAGCAACCCCCAGCCCCTAGGGAACCCCACCCAGCCCTAAGATAGAGCCTCAGCCCCTAGGAAATCCTTGACTCCCAGCCTCTGCCCTCCCCCTAGCT